CTTGGAAAAAAAAATAATTTATGCATTATTATTTGTACATTTGCCCAAAAGCAGTCAAAATTACTTCCTTGGGCAATCTAGTGTTAAACAGATTTAAAACGACGACTTGAAAATGTAATAACCGTTGAAACACAATCATGATTTCGTGTGTCAGTGACTGGGTTAAGAATCTTCGGCCTTGGCGAACATCAATTTTATTTTCATTTAAACGGGTAGATCGGGTTCTATCAGGGCGAGGAAGGTTCATTTCCCGTCGCGCCGTCCTTCAGCGCCGTGGTGCTCGGCGTAAAAAGCGCAGATCGCGCATAAAGTATTTCGATTAGCATCTAAATGTAGCCGGGTCACGTAAACGCAGTCACAGCTCGTTTCTTCATCTTTCCCGTACCTCCGCGCTCACTCCCCACCCCGTTGTCCCGTCTACCCCGTTTAAAAGAACTCGCGAACGGTTTAAACGCGCTTCCATAGTCGCGACACGTTTTTACGAGATTAATAGCGAAGCATTGCGTCCGGCCGTGTAATTTATTCGAAGCTAATGCTTCGTTCTCGTAACGCATAGAAGTTGGCTTTCAAATTAACAGTAGAAATGATTATTTATTTGCAGTTTTCAAATATATTGAACGTTAATCTTATTAAATTACTTTAATCCTCATAAACGTTTTCCAGCGTTGTTAACTTTAAACAATGTGTAACTTACAATTAGCTCCGGCCGGAATCTGGTGAATCAACCAAAGGGGAACGAAAGGGGATTAGCGTTAATGTAAACACACCGGCGGGCGTGATTGTATTTTCACTGCCCGGATCATGAATAGAAATTACGTCGTTAAGAGATCAAAGATACTACCAGGCGCTGAGAAATCGGTCAACGGGTACTTCCTTTTTTGAGTTGGGCCATACGCGAGATACATGGTTCCCTCTGAAAGAGGTTCTCGACAGTAAGAGCAGAAGGAATGAAAAATTCACGGTTCAATCTTGATTCAGATTTACATTACCACTCATAAGTATCCGGATCGCCATAAAACTTTAAGTAACATGTACATCCGAAAAAAGTAACATCATGGATTATCATAAAACTATATTATTAAATTGTCATAAAATCCATATTACAGAATTATAGTA